AGGATGCTGTCTTTGTGATGTGGGTGTCCTGGGACCCTCAGGTGACACTCAGGGAGCACTCAGTAGGGGTGGTGAGGGCAGAGCCTCTGCTCCAAGCCCTCCCGCACTGCCTCCAGGACCCCCCCCCCCCCCGCCCCGGCCTGGTAATAAAATGTTAATGAAGCGACCATGTGACGTTTACCAGCTTGGGTGGGGACACTGAGGCTACAAGAGGCCTGAGGTGGCAGAACCCACCACAGCCCACAGGCTGACATCGGAGCCCACTTTTTGCCTTATGACAAAACGAAACAGAAAATGCTGGGTTCTGTGGCCATTGTGGGAGGCCTGTCTGCAGTCGTAAACTGAGACCTGAGGAATTGGCAGGGGTGGAGAGAGGGCCGTGTGGAGCTGGAGGCCAGGAGGAGGCCAGGCCTCGGCCATGCAGGAGTCCACAGGCAGCCTGGGAGGCCTGCAGCCCTGAGCCCTGGGCCCCACTCCCTGCATCCCTATGCCCTGGCCCTCCGCCCAGCACAGCCCTCATGTCCCTGCAGCTGGCGGGGACACTGGGGACACAGCGGGGAAGTGAGTCTCCATGAGGTTCAAACTGACAAGCTAGTTTTACTTTTAAGGGTTTATCTTAAGACAGTTTGTTTAAAGGAACAAAGAAACGAAATGACATCTCTAGATCTAGTGCTTACTTCCCAGCCCTTACCTGACTGGCCCCTCAGGGTGGACCTGGTCATGTCCTCAGGGACCCCACGCAGCCTGGTTGCTCCCCCGCCCACAGCACCATCACACCTCCCCGCGTCTAGGCCTGCTGGCGGGGGCTCGGCCCGCGTCTCTGCTTGTCTCTGTCTACACTGGCTACCCCCTTGGGAAGCTGGGCCACCTTTTCTGAACCCTGCTCTGCACCACTTAGAGCAGAAAGTGCATCCCAGACTGACCTGTCCAGACCTCAGGGCGGCACTGGACTTCAGGTATGTAGACAGGGCAAGGGAGGTCAGGCTCCGGGAGCCCGTGGGAGGCTGGAGGGCAGCCTGCAGAGTGCGCTCTGGAGAGTCTCACCCTGTCTGTGCAGCGTTCCCACTGGACCCCGACCTGCAGGCCCTGGGCTCAGGGCTCCACACTGGTGGGAGGGCCAGGCAGGGCTGCCCTCTGTCCCTAGGCAGGACCTCGGCCCTCCCCGCCAAGTCCTGATTCCCTTTTGGAATAGATGGTTTCAGGTCCAGTTCTCACAAACCTTTGCATTTGTGTGAAATTTGTGTTAAACACAAATCCAGGTTTTTCATTTTCAAGGAGGTGGGTGTTAGTAACAAGTCTTTACGCTGGTTTTATCTGATTATAGCAGTGAAGTGTGCAGATCTGTTTTTACAATTATTTTATGATCCCTCAAATGAACATAAGCTAGTCAACTTCAAACGAGGGGAAAGATCTGGGTAATAATTTTCATTGCTTTTTTCTAAACTTATTCAAGGTTTGATCTCAGAGGGGAAGCACGTGCGGGGGCTGAGCGCGGTGTCCGGGGTGTGGCCTGGGCTGGCCACGCAGGCGCGGGGCCTGACAGTAGGCTGGATTTGTGTCTTGAATGCAGTGGCCTCGTGGTCTACGCGGACGGACCCCTGAACCTGGACCGCAAGGCAGAGGATATGTCTGAGCTGTTCCGGCCTTTCCACATGTTGCTGCGGAGAATCAGGTGGGGGGGCGGGGTTTGCCCCTGAGCCCCCTTCCTTCTGGGTCACGGGGTCGGGGGGTGACACCTACTCCTGTGGGGCTGCAGTGACCTCGCGGACGAAGCCGGTCTTGCTCGGCCTTCGCTGGATACCTCAAGAGCGGGGTGGCTCCTCAGGGCGGAGCTCTGGAGAGTGGGAAACCTCTGGCTTCTGTGTGAAGCTGAGTCTTGACTTCTGTTCACCAGCAGCCCTAGAGTTTCTTGTTCATGTCAGCGCTGCTGGAACCTTGGTTTCTGTCTTTGGTCTGTACCATCTGGAGCGCCCTTTAACGCCCACATCTCTCCTTCCCCACGGGACAGGTTCTTTGCTCTTGGCTGGGGGCATTAAGACCTTCACACCAATGTGCAGTCACAGGATGGCAGCCGCCCTGGCTGGTGGCCCGGACACTGGTCCCTCTTCACAGTTTCTCACAGGAACTTCTCTGTGGCCCTGCCAGACGGACACGGCCCATCTTACAGGAGACGCCGTGAAACCAGGGTGGCTTAGGGAGGACCAAGGCGCTGGGTACACAGGCAAGGGAAGAGCCCAGAGCAAGAGACCCATGCGACGTTCTGAAGAGTCTAACGTCCACAACTGGAATCAGGAGGAAGGAGTAGAGGAAACGAGTAGAAATAGTATTCAGAGGACTAATGGCCAAGAATCGTCCAAAACTGAAGAAAAAAATCTTTGCCCAGAGATTCGGGAGGCACAAGAAAACTACAAATGAGATGAACACAAAACGCGACAGGGGTATCACAGTGAAGTTGCTGAAAAGGAAGAAAAAATTCCTAGACACAGCCGAGGGGAGGAACATGTTACTTTGAAAAGAATGTAGGGTTGACGACTGTCTTCTCAAAAGCAGCGGAGGCCAGAAGACAACGAAATGATCTGTATTTTAAATGCTGCTCCTCGGAATGCTGTAACCACCAAAAATCCTTCAGAAATGAAGGTGAAATAATGAATTATTCAGAAACACGATTCTTCAGTAAACTATTCAGAAAGCTGAAGGAAATGTGTTAGCAGCAGCCCACACATTAAAAAAAACAACAACTAATTGGAGTTCTTCCAACAGAGGGAAAAAGTCTGAGATGGAAATGTGGAAGTTCGGGAGAGACTTAAGCACCTGGCGTGAGTGAGCATAAATGAACATGGACTGCCCAGAACAGCCACTGTAGTGTCTCGTGCGGCTTACATTATACGTAGCGTAGTTTACCATTTGAAAATAAAATCAGTGTTTTGCTGTATTAATTTCTTAAAAAGGAAGAAAAACCAAATCATTTTGAAAGTTACAGAAAAAGAATTTGAAAAATGTAACACCTATTTTATGATGAAAACATCTCTTAGCAAATTAGAGATAGAAGGGAATTTCCTTAATCTGACAAAAGATGACACACGTGTGCACACACGTGAAGCTGGGCCCTTACCTAACATCATGTAAGAAAATCAACTCACAAAAGAATCGGGGACCTAAGTGTAAGAGCTAAAACTACAAAACTCTTAGAAGAAAACATGGGACAAAAGATTTATGACATTGCTTTCGGCAGTGGTTTCTTGAGCACAACACCAAAGTCACAGGTAACAGAATAAGAATCAGACAAATTGGACTTTGTGAAAATGTCAAAATTCTGTGCATCAAAAGGCAGTATCAACAGAGTAAGAAGGCAATGCATAGAATGGGAGAAAATATTTGCACGTCATATATGTGATAAGGAATTAATATCTAGAATATAGAGAGCTCCTAATACTCAGCAACTAAAGGAATCTGATTCAAGTGGGCAAAGAACTTGAACAGACATTTTTCCAGAGAAGATGTACAAATGGCCAACAGGTACACGAAAAGATGCTCAACATCACAGTCAGGGAAGTGCAAGTCAAACCACAGCGAGGTAGCCCCTCGCGCCCGTGAGGGTGGTGCTGTCGAAGAAACGGAAACAGCAAGTGTGGGTGAGGACGCGGGGCAGTTGGCGCTTTCGTGCACTGTTGGTGAGGATGGAAAATGGTGCAGCTGCTGTGGAAAGCAGTATGGGGGTTCCTCAAAAAGTTGAAAACAGAACTGTGAGGTGATCTAGAAATCCCCCTTCTGGGTTTATACCCAAAAGAGCTGAAGGCAGTACCTTGAAGAGATACTTGTAACCCACATTCATAGCAACGTCATTCACAGTAGCTGAGACATGGACGTCACCACGGCAGGTGAATGGGCAGGCAAAGCATGGTCCATCCATGCAATGCATATTACCCAGCCTTAAAAAGGAAGAAGATTCTGACACCTGCTATGACATGGGTGGGCTTTGAGGACGTGCTAAGTGAAACAAGCTGGTCGCAAAGAGACAAATAATGTATGATTCCAGTTGCACGAGGCCCCTGGAGTCTTCAGAGTCACAGGCACAGAAGGCACAACGGTGGTTGCCAGGGGCTGGAGGGAGGAGAGGCTGGGAGTTACTGTTTAACGGGTTCAAAGTTTTAGTCGTAGAAGATGAAAGAGTTACGGGGAGGGATGGTGGTGATGTCTGCACAGCAATGTGAATGTATTTAATACCACTGAACTGTCACTTAAAAATAGCTGAGTTCGTCAGTTTCATGCTATATGTATTTTATCAAGTGAAAGATTTAAATATCGTCTGTAATGATGTCAGTAAGCGTCAGTTACTAACGCATAGACCTGAGGGTGTCGAAGACCTCCACTGAAAGTTGCAAAGTGTTTTTGACATAAAAATTTAAAGACCTACATAAATAGCTATTCCATATTCAGGGAGTGTAGAGCTGAAAATTGAGAAGACACCAGCTATTCTCATTAATCTATCTGAGAACCTGTGAATTCAAAGCAGCCTCAATCAAAATCCCAGGAGGCTTCTTTTCTTTCTTTCTCCTGGAATTGACAAACTAAGTCTAAAACTCATGTAGAAACGCCAGGGACCTGGACGAGCCAAGGAGAAGATCGCTGGAGCAGAAGGACACAGGAGGATGTTACTGATCTGTTCTACGCTCGACGGCCTCGGGGTGGCTGTCACGAGCAAGGCTGGTGTGGCCAAGCTGGTGAACGTGTGTGCGCGCTTCTCTGAGTGTGCTTCATACACAGCGGACACTGCTGGACACGCTTCCTGTCATAAAGCCGCAGTCGCGCTGGCAGAGGTGTGCGCCGAGCATCCAGCAGACTGGGGGTCTGGAAGCAGACCGGTGCACACGCGCTTCCCTGACCCACAGCAAAGGTGAAAATACAGAACAGCGGAGAGTGGTCGGTTTTCTCAATGAATGGCTGAATCAAAAAATATCCATATGAGGGGAAAATGTGTCTGGATCCTTGACACAGTCATGGAAAACACCAGTTCTAGACAGACTGCAGACACAGATGTGTGAAGGGAAACAGCACTTTCAGAGGGAAAGGTCGAGTGCATCCTTGTGACCTTGACGTAGGCAGAGGTTTCTTAAACAGGGACAAAAGCACAAACCGTAAAGAAAAAATGTGACGCCTTGAACTTTGTTAAAATGAAAAGCTTTGATTTGTCACAAGACACAGTGAGGAGCGTGAAAAGGCAAGCCACAGGATTGGAGACCACATCCAACTGACAGCTCAAATCCAAAGTGTATACAGAACTCCTACCCATCTGCAAGAGAAAGGCAGACAAGCCAACAAAAAAAGTGGGCAGAAGTCTTGAACCAGCACCTCGCAGAGACGCTCTGCCAGGGCCAGTGAGCATAGGAGCCGGTGCGGACTCCCCGAGCAAGCAGGCCAAAGCCATGTCAAACCACAGTGAGTGCCCCTGCACACACCCAGGAAGGGGCGACGTGGAAGAGACCAAGTGCCCACCCGGCGCGGAGAGGCAGAACTGTCAGCGAACACCGGGGCTCTCGGTGGGGACGCGCCTCTCGCCGACACTCAGCATGTGCACTTGCAGATACACGCCCACGTTCCCCAGGAGAGGTGCTCACAGCGGTGGTCCCGGCAGCCAGGGCCCATCAGGCAGAGAAAGGATTCAGAGATAAATTGGGTGTGTTTCCACCGTGAGACTGAACGATCTACAGCGACCGTGAATCTCACCAGACAGGGTTGCCGGAGCTAACAGAGCAAAACAGCAGAATGTGCAATTAAATTTGAATTTCAGATAAACGGTAATACCGTGTGAGTGTCAGCACTTACTCTAAAAAGCATTCGTGCACTTAAGCGCATTTGCTGTTTGTTATTCTAGTGGAACTGGATGTCCGATGTTTCCTTTGTGGCAACTCCATGACTATGACATTGGCAAACCACATGCCTCAAAAGAGCACAGATTGCAAATTCCCTTCGATCTAGAGATTGTCGGGGTGGTTGTGGTGGCGGGGTGACCACAAAGGCACGAGAGGGCGCCTGGGACCCAGGTCGGCGCTCTGTTTCTCCATCTGGTCGTGTCTGCCTGGGTGTGCTCAGCGTGTGAAGAGTCACGGCTGTGCGGGAGCATTTAACTGGGCACTCAGTCCTCAGGCCAGCCTGAGCTTTTCCCAGCAGGGAACAGTGTGCATCGGCCTAGAGGACCTGCTTTGGGCTCATCCCAGTCCTTGTCATTAAATTCACTCCATCTCGGACGTCTGGCTCAATGCCCCCTCCTCCAGGAAGTCTCCAGACTAAGCCGGGCGCCCTGCTGTGCCTTCCTTCCGGCAGGCACTGTCCTTTGCCGCCATTGCCACTACTGTCATTTAGTCTTCACTCATAAATATCTGTTTATCATCTGCATCTTCTTATGTGACCCCCACGGGCAGGGGCCACACCTGCCCTCTTCCTGTGTATCACCCAGTGCCTGGCACAGACAGTGCCCGCTAATATTTGTTGGACCAAAGGATGGAAATCTGTATGTAAACCAACATGTATTTTTTTCACTCCTAAAAGTTTTTATTACTGTGAACATCAAATCCCTAAGAATCAGGGTTTTTCTTGTTTTCAGCAAGAGGTTTCAGAGTCTCAAAAAAAAAAAAGGAAAAGGAAAATAGCTCAGTGGCAGAGCGCATGCTTAGCACGCACGGCGTCCTGCGTTCAATCCCCGGTGCCTCCATTTAAGGGAAAGGAAAAAAGAGGGTTTAGGATCTCATTTGTAGCAAGAGCCCATCCTAGAATCAGTCAGCCACCCCAGTCTGCTGTCTTCCCGACCCCACGCATGGCCCGGGGACCCCTAGGGACACGCCTCTTTCTGTAGTGGACAAAGCGGGTGCTGAGTGAGGTTAATCACACTGCAAGCGCTGGATGCCTTGTTGCTTCTCACCTGGGGCCGAGCCCACTGTGGGGGGTCTTGTGTGGCCTTTGGGACCTACAGTCTTGTTTTCTGTCTTGACCTGTGTAGGGATTTGCTGCAGACCCTGACAGAGGAGGAGCTTCACACGCTGGAACGGAACCTCTGCATTTCTCAAGACGTGGAGTTCCCCATCAGGGCAGAGACCCAGGTGCCCCCTGCCCTGGCGCCCACCTTCCCCGCGCCCCTGGCCCCGGAGGAGCCACTCTCAGCCAAGGCCAAAAACGCAGAGGCGGATCTGGCCTGCTCCATGCAATACGATGACCAGGAGCTGGAGCAGCTCAGCCGCATGGTGCACAAGGCCGGGGACGAGATGTCCTCCCTCCTCTCCCCGCCCAGTGCCGGCCAGTCCCCCGCACACGGGCCAGGCGCCGCGGGCAGCCCCTGCGGGCAGGCGTCCCCAGGCGGCGCGCGGCCACCGGGCAGCGACGAGGAGGAGGGGAGGGTGTTCTTCATGGATGACGTGGAAGGGGCGGCAGAGGCCCCGGGCAGCCCGTCTGGGTGGGCTGGCAGCGCCAGGGCTGACCCCCAGCAGAGAGGGCAGGCCAGAGGGAGCAAAGAGCTGGGGGGCAGCAAGCTCGCTGCTGCGGAGGGGGACCCGAGCGACATTGAGGGTGACAGAATGCGGGCAGTGGGCCCCAACCTCTGCAGCTGCCTGGACTCCCAGCCGCACCTGGATGGCTGGGAGGTGAGTGTGGATGAGGCCGAGACGGCCGAGCTGATCGCCCACCGGACAGGGGGCATGAAGCTCTCAGCCACGGTCATCTTCAATCCCAAGTCGTCCACCTCATCGGACTCTGTCCCTGCCAACTCAGAAGCCCCTGGAAAGAGCGTCTCCCCGTCAGAGCCCGGGGCCGAGGGGACGGAGGCTGGCTCCCACAAACTCAGTGCCCCGGCCACCACCTGCCTCCTGAATTCCTGCGTGTGCTGCGGGGGCTGCGGGGGCAGCAGGGAGGACGCGGCTGAGAGCCTGCGGGGCAAGGGCAGCTCAGGCAGCGTCGTCAGCTCCTCCTACGTTGGCTTGGCCAAGGCCAGTGCCAAGGACTCGGCTGCGGGGCTGTTGGAGGCCCGGCCTGCCCCAGCGGCCTTGCCCACGGGCGCCCCAGCCCCCCTGCCATCAGAAGACACCCCTGACAGGCAGGATCCCAAAGCCCCTACTTCCAACAAGTGCCTGGCACACCCCTCAGAGCCCCAGGTGGACGCAGCAGACCGGCTGCCTGGAGCGGGCGACGGTGCCGAGCAGCAGAACGAGGCTGAGCGCCTGCGGCCCTCGGCGCCTGGGGAGGAGAGTCGACTGGGAGGGGCAGCCGAGGAGGAGCCCCGGCACCTGCCGGGCTCCAGGTAAGAGGAGTCCTCCTCTCGTCTGCAGCTTGTCAGGCCTCCTGGGCCTAGTTGCCGCTTCCAACAGAGAGGTGTCCCCAGGGGCCCTGCCGCCCTGTTTCTGGCATTGCGGGCACATTTCAGGTGGGTGGGCATGGCGCCCAGCCCTCAGTTCACTCCCTCTCACCACCATAGTGTGACGGCGTGTGTGGACTGGGCCGTGGCGCCCACCTGGCCCACGTGGCTGCTCACGTGGGCCGCAGTCAGCTGCACAGACCCTCAGCCCTGGGCGTGCAGCCCCGGGGGACCTGGTGGGAGCCCAAGAGCCGCTCGGGCTGATTCTTGGGCAGCGCAGCCAGGCGATCCCCTCTTCTCCCTGCCAAGGCAGCGGAGCAGGCCGGGCAGGCGGGGGCTCTGCGGGACCCCGGCACCTCCGTGTCTCAGACCTGGGGCTGCTCTTCCTTCCCTGCTCGCCGCGCCCTGGGCTCACCCTGGGTGAAGCAATTCAACCAGCACCTACCCAGCACCCCCACGTGCCCCTGTCCTGGCCATCAGGAAAGGGGGCGGGGCCCAGCCTCGGGGACACACGCGGATGTTGTGCTGTCCTCTCACCCAGCCCGGCCTGCAGGCTCCCGTCTTGGCTTCAGCTGTGTCCGGCAGGACGTGGGAGGTTGGGGAGGGTAGGGGCTCCACCTGGAGGCTGGATGGGGCCCCTGCCGGGGCCACGGGAGCTGGGCAGAGGGGTGGTCAGCGAGGGTGGGGCCGGGGAAGGGGCTCCACACCTGGGGGAAGGGGTCTCTGGGCTCCACAAGGCTGTGTAGCCGCTGCCTACTCCCCGGCCAGGTCCTCTGGGCAGCGTGTGCAGGAGGCTGGCCGGGGCCCCGTGGGTGTCGGGGCTGCCCTTCGCCTGCTGAGCTCTGAGGCCCTGCGCAGCCTTTCCTGGGTGGGCCCTGGAGTCACTCCCTAGCCCCTGGAACCGCTAATCTGCTTTCTGGCTCCTTGGACTTGCCTGCGCTGGACATTTCCGACAAACAGGGTCGCTCGCTGTGGGACACTGTGTCGGGCTTCTTTCGCTGAGCATCATGTTTTCAGGGCTCACCCACGTCCATCAGGTGCTGGGGCTTTCTTCCTCTTGGTGGCTGAGTAAGAGTCCACAGTGTGGAGGGACCCCGTTTTGCGCATGGGCTGATGAGTGTGTGCGTGGTTTCCACTTTCCGTCATCGTGGGAGTGCCGCTGTGAACATCTGCTCACATCTGTACAAGTTTCTGTGTGGCCATGGGTTTTCCATCCCTTGGGGGTCTGTCTGGGAGTGGGACTGGCGCATCACACGGTGCCTCTGTGTGCACTTTTCTGGGGAGCTGTGAGCTCCCCCGTGGTTTTCTCTCCCCGGTCATGCGCAGGCTTCCAGGTGCTGCACACCCTCATGGCACTTGTTGTCTAAGATTGTTTCAACAGCTCTTATGACCTTTGGACTCTTTTGACCTTTGGACGTGTCCCACTGGAGTATACAGCCAAGCGACTGCTTCCAACTCACTTGAAACCATTCTCTCTGTGGGTCGTGCCCCAGATTTTGCCCACAGTAGGTTAATTTGTTCCATTTGGCATAAGATGTATAGAGATTGCCATTTGCACTTATTTTTATAATTATGTGAAATGTTTGCATGGTTCCCAGCAAAACGTGCAAAACAAGATGTACCTGGAGAAATCTGTCCCTTCCCCCCAAACTCCCCCTCCCCCAGAGTGACAGTTTTCAAGTTGCTTCCAGTTTCTCCTTCAGTTTTAAAAATAGAAGCAAGAGTGTGGACCCCCCCCCGTGTGCTCCCTCCCGTTCCCTGTGTGGACCCCCCCCACGTGTGCTCCCTCCCGTTCCCTGTGTGGAACCCCCCCACGCATGCTCCCTCCCGTCCCTGTGTGGAACCCCCCCCCCCGTGTGCTCCCTCCCGTCCCTGTGTGGACCCCCCTACATGTGCTCCCTCCCGTCCCCGGCAGGGGGCTCATCCTGCAGACTCTCTTCTCTGCCTCACTTTACTGACTTCAGCCTGAAGGCCTGTCCGCGTAGTTTCTACAGATGCCCCCAGTGTCACTTTCGGCCGCATGGGAGCCCACTGTGTGGCTGGACCGCTGTGCAGTCAGGCCCTGCCGCTGGCCTTGGGGCTGTTTCCAGTCCTGCCTTGGCAGACAGCGCCACCACGAACGGCCGTTCTCGACAAGGCCGTTGTTCTAGGTGCAAGCCGTGTGGCATCAGCCAAGTGCAGTGGAACAAGTTCTAAGAGGCGGCTTTCTTCCTCAGGACTTCTGACCCAGTGGCCCAGAGACGACTGGTGAGTGAATCATCTTTCTGCAAGGCTGATATGAGGCCATCACAAATTCTCTGACAGGTTACGTGCATTTTTCCGGTTTTTGACCTGTCCCCCCTTCTCGCTCTTTGTCCAGGTGACAGCCGGGGGACACCTCCCTACTTTGTCTGGAATCGCCTCCTGCTTTCCCGACACGCCCCCCCGTGGACACTGCTTGTTCACATCATGCCAGCAGCTGCCCAGACCTCCTCTGGCTTAACACAAACGCTGAGCTGAGCTGAGAAGAGGAAAGGGCCATCGGGCCACACCCGGAGGCCCTCGGAGACACTCCCATCCTCCAGGAAGGTGGTCTCCAGGAAGTGCAGAGGGTCTGAGGAAGGAAGAATGTGGCACTTGGCCGGGTGATCAGGGCAGCCATGCCTTTGGGCCAGGACCGTGGACAGCGGCGTCTGGGGCCCAGCATTGCACCAGGAGCAGCTGGGAATAGGTCAGCAGATGGCGCCTGTCCCCTCCGCTGGCAGCATGTGTATCAGGAGCCCTGTTCGTTCGTTCATTCATTTATTCATGCATTCACAGTACGTGCGGGTTCCCGGGTGCTGAGCAAGGTGCCAGAGACACACCCAGGAACAAGGCAGAGGTGGCCCGGCCTCTTGGAGCGTGATCGGACATGAATACGGAGGGGACAAAGCCATACGATTGAAACAGACACAAAGACCAGCCTTACACAGGCAGAAAGTTCCCCAGAATTCAGATGGCGAGATTCCTGGCATTGGTTGGCACCTTAGTAGCACCTCTGGTGGCTTCCTGCGGAAACAGCCGGGCCGGTGTCAGGTGCAGGCGGCCACCTTCCCTTCGGCAGAGGAAGAGCTGGAGCCCAGGAGAAGCTGGTACTCCCCTTGGCTCCAAGTGCCTGGGAGGGCTGGTGTCACCCTTGACCTTCTGCCCAAGCAAGAGCCCATCTGCTCTGTGCGGTGCACTTGGTCATCACTCGGTTGTGAAGAGCTGTCGCCCTGATTTGACCGTGAGGCCTGCCTGTCCAGCAGGGGCCCCTGTGGCCCCTGTGATGTGCTGCATGGAGGAGTGACTTGCAGGTGTGGCCCTGCGCTCATGAACTTCTGGCCAGAAGTGTGAGTCAGGCAGGTGCAGCTCAGACCTCTGTGTCACCATCGGGCTGGGCGCCATGCAGGGAGTTGTGGCTAAGGATCTGCTTGTGGGGCCAAGGTCCCTGAGGACACCCAGAGCCGAATCTCCCACTTGAGCATCGTACAGCCTGCGGGTGAGGGCTAGGGCTGCCAGAAGGACAGACATAGGGCAGGAGGTGGGGCCTGGAGCAGGGGCCCAGCCAGGAGAAGCGCCTCCCCACCCACCGTGACTCTCCCAGACCCTGCCCAGCCCGCTGCACACAGGCTGTTCCAGCAATGCTGTTGCCCAAGGTGGGGACGTGTCACCCCGGCAGAGTCCTGGGCAGAATGTTCCAGAACCAAGTGTCCTTCAGCTCTTTTCTTTTTATCACCTTCTTTCTTACCTTTTCAATGCTCGAAGATTAATCTTTTTGGGGGGAAAGTTGGCATCTTTTAGAAGCGTGCTGTTCACTGTCTGGACTCACCTCATCATCAGAACCTTCCACACTCTTGAGGCCCCTGAATTGCTCTCTTGTCCAGGAGACGGAAACTCGCCCTGTCTCAGGTCGGCTTTGTCCTTTCTGTGGACATTTTACTAAAGGGTGTGTCCAACCTTCCGCTTGCTTGAAAAAATAACACCGACTCTTTCTTCTAGTTATAGTTGTGGCCCATCCACTGCAGAAGCTCACGGAAAAACGAAAAAGAGAGAAAGAAAGAAAGCAAAACCATTCCAAGTCCCATGAGCAGTTTTACAGTTTTTTTCTGAATGTTATTTTTTGATCATTTATCCGCAAAATCCATTAAAAACGCAAGTCCCGTAGACTTCTGTCTGTCCTGAGGATGTACTCTCATTTGTTCTGCCTTTTCCCTTTCCCACACTTTTTCCATGTCCGATTAGCCATGTGTTCCCTCGCCCTTACGGTTCCGTGTCTGCCTCTTGGATGATTTTTTGGAGCCCGCCCTTAGGAGTGGAGTCACCCCGTCTTCCTCAGCGGGGCCCCCCGCCCCAGCTCCGGCTGCCCTGACCCGAGAGGCAAGTGGAATTGGCTGTGCAGTTCGCGTTTCTCCGACGAGGGGTGTCCCGGGGCGCTGCCCGCCGCGTCTGCTGCCTGCGTCCTTCCGCAAGGTGGCTCTTCCCGCCCTTTCTCTGTTTTCTGGTGGGGTTTTCGTGTCTTTCTCACTGACGTGGAAACGTCCCTTCCGTCTGGAGTGTCGGTTGCAGGTAGCTTCTCCCAGTTTGTTATTTGCCCTTTGGTTTTATTTATTGATGCCTTTTGATTGGTGGGTGTCTTTAATTTTGTTTTGTGGAATTTGGGTTCTCTGCCTTCCCTTTTCCTCCGGTTGGTTTGTGGCGCTGTCCCTCCTCACCCCAAGCCCAGGGGCTGTTCCCTGGGCCTCAAGCTGGTGTCCCAGGGTTGCCTTTCCCCGTTAATGCTGCACCCCCCTGCTGCATAGTGAGGAATGAGCCCGTTTTCGGGGGTCCAGGCCACCTTGCCCTGTGAGACTGTCTCCACCCATCAGAGGGAGAGAGGCGGTCATGGGCTGACACCATCCTGACTCCGGCGGGCTTGCCTCAGGCTGGGGCCGCCTTAGAAACCATCACCTCGTGTGCCTCCCAGAAGGCCTGGCCTGCCCTGCGTTCTCAGCTCTGCGGCTGCATTTGGGAGTCTGGCTGGTGGTGTCCCCGCCTCCCCCTCATGTGCTCAGTGGGCCTCCCTGGCTATTGTTTTGGGGAGAATGATAGGAATCTGGAAGGACTATCCTGGGCATGGGCTTCCGAGCGTCTGCCCTAACCCGGAGGCCTGTGCTGTGCCCACATGCTACTTCCTCGCAAAGCGAGGTGACGGCAGAATATGGCCACTGGGGACGTCTTCCCAAGGGGACTTTCTGGCACACGGTGCTTCCTCACCTGTTTGGGCAGCAGCATTGGAAGGTGTGTTCCCTGTCCCTGCAAACGCAGCAGGAGGGAGGTCTGGTGGTCCGGCCTGGGGCCAGTTCCACCTCCCAAGCCTCAGACTTATCCTCTGCAAAAGGGGCTCACAGCTCACACAGCACCTTGGGGTGGCTTTTACTCCACGCCTCCCTCACCGTTGTCACCTGTCCTCATTGCTCACTGTCATCACTGCTGCTGCGCAAGGCTGTTCCTCGCCGGGTCCGTGTTACTCTGTCATCAGGCCTGGCCTCGCCTCCCCGTCATGTCACTGGGTCTCACTGCTCCTGGCCTCACGTCCACTTCCTTACTGCCCACGGGCACTGTGAAAACTGGATGGGGTGGTTCCAGACAGTGCAGCAGGATCTTGTCCCATGTCTCTAGCCTCTGCTTTCCCCTGACTTGGCTTCTTGCCCACCTGGCTCCTCCTCCAGGGAGCACCTTCCTCCTTGCTGTGGCTCCTCTGCCCTTTGCCTGGGTGGGGATCCCGGGCCCGGGAATGCCCGGGATCCAGCCCTGAGTGGCTGTGGCTGCAGAGAGCAGACTGCACCGTGTTCCCCGGAGTGAGGCTCCAGCTCCCCTGGGCCCCCATGGCCGCTTTTCTTCCCTGTTTGGAGGGAGCTGCCTGAGATCCTGCTGGGGTTCCTCCAGGCTGCACCATGGGGTGCCTGCAGCTTGGGGAGGGGCAGGACGTAGCTCCCCTGAGCTTCCTCAAGCATCTGGTGAGAGGGAAGTCCTCTGTCGCTTGGAAGCCTTCCCAGCGGCAACGGGCTGCACTCCTGACCTGCTCTGTCCACGCATCACTGAACCAACTTTCCCTCCAGCCGGTTGAGTCAAGGGCTGGCTGCTTGATGTCCCGGGGCAGCCCCTGCCCTAAGTGGGGCCTCACTGGTGCCCCAGGGCCACCCTGCCCACCAGCCTCCAGGGTCTGGAAGGACATGCTTCCTTTTCCAGCTCGTGATCAACCACCATGGCCTCTGGTGCTGGCCGTCAGGGCTGGGAGTGCTGGGGGGCCATCCTGAGCTGGCCCCATCGAGGGTAAGGGGATGTGAGCCAAAGCATGCCCCCACCAACTGACCACTCAGCCAGCCGAGACTCAGAGGGGCCCTTGTCTGGTCCCACCCGCCCCATGGCTGGGGCTCCACGGGGGACCACCTTCGGGAGAGGGTGACAGGGTGGGGCTTGGTCCAGCCCTGATCTCTCTCTGGCGGCTGTGTAACCCCCTGGCACCCAGTCTCCTCCCCACTGGGGCGTGCGCTTCACTGCTGCTTCTGCCAGAGCCGCTCTGGGGCCAGGTACCAGGCACAGGCTGGCCGCTGCAGCCAGCGTCCCCATGGCAGGGGTCCCTGCCACAGACATAGCAGCGAGGTCTCCCGCCACAACATGCCCCTGGGAGGAAAGACAAGAGTGATTGAGAGGTTTAAAAATAGAGAACCTGGGATTAATTAGACTTCTGAAAGGCAGATTAGGCATAGTGACTGTCATCATGTCAGCTGCTCACAGGTCGCGGGGCTGTGCGGGCTCACGTGGGCTGAGACAGTCAAGTACCAAGTGCCAGCCTGGGTCAGGGGGCCGGGCTGGGTTCCTGGGGGTCCTGGGAGGAGTGCTGCCCTCCTGGTAGCTGGGGCTCCCCAGCAGGTGGAATCCTTGCTCACAGCCAGGTGAGCTGCTGCAGAGAGAGGGAACAGCCCAGCTGTGGCCTGGCCCGGGGGAGGCAGTGACTGCGGGCTGACCAGACACTGGGCCCCAGCACCCAGGACGGCCCCTCCCGGCCTTGCTCTCCTCGGCCCAGCCCACCCTCAGTCCCCACCCAGAGCCGGCCTTAAGGGCGCAAGTTCCCAGCTTCTCCCCCTAGCCTGGCACCCACGCCGCACCCTGGACATCTCTCACTGCCCCCTGCTCCCCCACCCCTGGCCACTGGAGTCCTCTTGCCGCTCTCCCCCCAGCCTCTCGCCACGCCAGGAAGAAGATAACCCTGACGCAGAAGCCAGGGCGGGCTGGGTGGGTGTGGGGCAGCCCCCCTAGTGAGCGCCTCCGCTGGGACCCGAGTGCAAGGCGTGTGCCCCAGGTGGCGGGCCCAGCAGGGGCCAAGGGGATGAGGGGGCCAGAGGCGGGCAGAAGGGGAAGCTGGGGCAGGGGATCCGGGAGAGCTCTGCAGGGCAGGGGTGGAGGGTGTCTGGGAGGAAGGCCAGCATCACAACAGGAGAGTGTGCGCACAGCGGCGACGCCGTCTGCTGCTTTTACGTTGCTTCAAACAGCTTGACCGCAGTAGGGCTGCCATACAGCGGACTGCAGCATGTGAGGGCGCCCGCCTCCCGCAGCCTCGCGCGTGGGCAGCCTTTTCAGCTGTTCTGATGGTGTGAAGTTTTGGGGGGAGGTTGGTAATTAGGTTTATCTGTGCGTTATTATTTATTTACTCTTAGAGGTGGTCCTGGGGATTGAACCCGGGACCCTGTGCATGCTAAGCACGTGCTCTTCCACGTGAGCGATACCCTCCCCGCTCCTTGCAGTTTTAATGTGTCTTTCCTTAAGGGCTCGTGACGTTGACCATCTTTCCATGTGCTCATCTGCCGTCGGCCTGTGTTCTTCGGTGAGGTGTCTGTTCAGAACTTTTGCTGTTTCTCTTAATTGGGCTGTTTCCTTACTTAGTTTTGAGAGTTCTTTATTTGTACTGTGTACAAAACTGTTACTGCATTTATGATTTGAGATCTTTTCTCCCAGTCTGTGGCTTGTCTTTTCATTCTAACAGTAGCTTTTGAAGGACAAAATTTCTTAATTTTGATGAAGTCCAATTTATCAGTTTTTTTCATGGATTGTGATTTTGGTGTCATATCTGGGAATTATTTTCATAACCTAAAGCTACAGTGGTTTTTCCTGTTTTCTTCTAGGCGTTTTATAGTTTTAGGTTTTTCATTTAGGTCTATGGTTCATTGTGAGTTAGTTTGTATATGGTGTGAGGTATGGATCAAAGTTTTATTTTGTGTTGCATAAGGATGTCAATTATTCCAGCGTCATTTGTGGAAAAAAGACTATCTTTTTCCCACTGAATTGCCTTTGCTCCTTTGTCAAAAATCAGTTAGCCATGTATTTCTGGACTCACTAGTCTGTTGCATTGATCTGTTTGTCTATGTTGACACCAGTATCACACTGTCTTAACTGTGGTAGCTTTATAAGGAGCCTCAAAGTTAGGTCTAGTGTAAGTCTACACCTTTGTTCTTCTTTCTCAGAGTTGTTTTGTCTATTCTGGGTCCTTGTATTTTATGAATTTTAGAACCAGGTTGTCAGTTTCTACTAAAGGGAAAAAAAAAGCCTACTTTGCCTGCAGCTGTGTTTAATCTATAGATTAACGGGAAGAATTAACACCTCAATAATATTGAGTCTTCAAATTCATGAACACAGCGTATTTCTCCATTTATTTAGGTCTTTAATTTCTCTCAGCAAAATTTTATAATTTGTATTGTTAAGATCTTGCACATCTTTCATCAGATTTATTCCTAAGTATTTTATATTTTTGGTGCTATTGTAAATGGTATTGTTTGTGATTTCAGCTTGTGATTGTCCATTGCTAATATAGAGAGATATAACTGATTTTTTAAAATTTTTGTATATTGATCTTATCTCCTACAACTTTGCTGAACTCCCTTTTTTAGATGTGGTAGTTTTAATGAAGATTTCATCAGCTTTTCTACACAGAGGATGTTGTCATCTGTGAATAAGCCAGTTTTACGTCTCCTTTCTAATTAGATGTCTTTACTTTTCCTTGCACTTTTGTGCTGGGGAGGACCTCCAGTACAATGCTGAAGAAAGGAATGGACACAGGACACTTTTGCCTGTACCTGATCTCCCTGTAAGTGTCCTGTTGGCTGTAGGGTCTCCATGGATGCCCTTCA